TGTTTTGCCAGTTTGATTTTGTCAGAAAAAAATAACCCTAGGCTTTTCTCAGCATTATTATATAAAACATTCTTAACATAGAAGCCATATCCCAACATTTGAGACTGGAAAAAACAAAGCAGATGCACCACAAAAGACAAATACTCACATCACATTAAAAGACCCTTTAGAGCAGGCACGTGCGGGGGGGGCTTGAGCACCCGCCCCTTTCCTGATGGGTGCCCAAAGTGCCCTTTTGTTGAGGCAACTTTTTAAAAATGTTTTTTTTTTTGTTAATGTGTGTGTGCGTGCGTGCGGAGTCCTGTCTGTGCCCCTCAACAATAATATTTAACTATTAATCACAGTTTTGCTAAATAAAAGGATCTGGCTTGCATCAATTCACATGATCACATTTAACCAATGATCGCCCTTGACGGCAGAACGCGCTGGTTACGAGCCGGGAACGAGCTCACAAAGAGCACGCGCATTTTTAGCGGTCCGGAGCTGTAGGAGAAACACAAGTTAACTCAGAGACACAGACTGATGAGACAAAACCAGTAAGTAGGTGTACACTGTAGTGTGTAGCACACAGGAGTATTGGCTTATTACGTACACGTTGGTAAGTTGTCTTGTGGCAACTGACGAACTGAAACAAACGAGCGTGCTGTGTGTGCAACAAACATTACCTGTCCTTTTATTAACTGCACAAGTAGTGCTGGTCATAGCTGCTGGCTACCTGTGTAAGGCTGTCATGGGTCTGTTGCTCTGTCACCGTTTTAGGGAACATATTTAGTTTTAAAGTAAGTTTCCGGGCTTTTCCTGCCTTTCTGGAGGGATTATATTTCACTAAAAAACGATCTAATATGCATGCCCACATATTAATTATTATAATTATAATATATTAAAAAACACAAGCTGTATTTTAAAGAACATACATTAAGAAGCAGATTATATTAGATTTATATTTTAAATAAGACAAAATTTGGAATTTACAGCAGTAAAATTATTGTATCTCTACAGTTTAAAAATGTAATAAGCTTTGCCCCTGCACAGAGTGGATAGTGAAACAAATGGAATCATCATCAATACATTATTTCATATTTATTACTTCCCCCTCCTCATTGCTTTATTATTGTAGCTATAGTAATAAATAATAATGTAAGGATTCTGGATCAGCACCATGATGCCCATAGTATATACAGTATTCTGAAGAAGGTCTAAAATGTCACTGTGTGTGCGTGCATGTGTGTGTTTTATTTGGATTTTTAAAAAAAATATTACTCATGATATAACATTGTCCAGATGTGCCTGGTAAGGACATGAGGAGGAAACAGCAGGAGCTGTGTGAGGCTACTAAAGGCAGTGCTATAACATTTTTCTGTCATCATTTTATTATAGATTAAGTGCAAGAGTTGTTAGGTGTGGATAATTAGATTATAGTTTATTGCAATAGCAAGTTGTGCCTTATTCTCACATAGCAAGTGGAGAGTGATATATGAAATGATGGGATGGAAGGAAGAAGAGAAGCAAAGAGTGATTCACAGGCAGAGCCTAAATAATTTCTCACAGTTTTTTGTTGCCTTATGGTTCCAAGCGCTGTCACCAATCTTTGCATTTTGTTATTATCTCATGACACTTGTTTAATCAGCTACCATCTCTCCTATGGACTTTTTAATGTCTACAGTCTCAGATCAACACAGCCCTTCCCTTCCCATATTAGATTCTTGATGAATGTGTGTTGTTGTTATTCAGCCTGGTTCAGTGTGCCCCTTTTTAACTTTGAGCACCCGCCCCTTTAAACCTCTCTGCACGGCCCTGCTTTAGAGCCTTGACCTTAACTGTGTATCCTGTGTTTTATTCGTTTTCCTTTGACACCTCATCTCAAGCCACATGAATGACAAAAGTTTGCACAAACAGTGCATAGATATGTCTTCTCATTCTTCTTCTTCTTTTGAAACCTTACCTGTCTGACAGCTTTTGCAATCAGAATTATGATCTGAATGAAACACATTTTGCCTTTCCAAGGTCAGCTCTATAAATTCTCTATAGGCTCATCTTGTTAAGGGTTTATCTGTTTATTTCTTCCTTTCTGTTCGTATTATTTAATGTTATATGTGGTATACAGTGTGACAATGTCTAAGGCAGGACAGGGAGGAAAAAAAAAGGGGTGGCCGTAGGGGGGTAGGGGAAGATGTCATAAAAGGACATTACAAATAAAAATGCATAATGTATGTATGTATGTATGTATAAAACATACAGGTACGCAACAATGTTCTTGAGGGGTGTGTGTGTGAGTGTGGGAGAGAGAAGGAGAGAGTGTTGAGTATTAGTGTGTCTTTGTCATAAAATGAAAATGAGGGTGGGAAGCCGCAATAATGGCCCCTAAGAGTCAGAGACAGACATAGGAGAACCAGGACTCTTCGGTACTCTTATATAGCCATATATATAGTTATACAACTATATATATGGCTCACTGTTTCATTCATATTGGCTGTATGTTGAGATGTTGATTAGTGGTTGATTAGTGATTTTACGGTGAGAATGTACTGAAAGCCAAGGTATGTCCATCTTTTAAAGGGGCAAAGGTCACTGCAGACAGTGCTTTATTAGAAAGAGACAGAGCAGATTAAGTCATTGAAAGTGGTTTGGAGCTTGAGTGTCACCTGATTAGGGAGTCCACCTGAAATTGTTAGAGAAAATCACTGAAAGAAAAATCTTTATTCCAATGGCAAATTTCAGTGACTTTGTGCATGATAGACAAAGAGGATGGATTGACTTCATTATAAAGGTCACTGGGTTTTGGAGCTTGGCCAACATTTGATATGCGGTTTTACTGTGATCACTCTTACTTCTAAAGACATGAACCGAAATGGGAAATGCAGTGAAGGAAGGATGTGTGCTGGTCTTGTGATCTCTTCATTTAGTTCAGGATGCACAAGATTTCACGGTTCATGCTTAATGGTTGAGCAAGAAGCTTTGAATTCAAGCAAGAAGGACAGTGCTAAATAGATGAACAGCCTTCTCCATTAATATTTGCCTACCGTATGAGTTTGTTAATTAAACTAAATCTGATCAAATTAATAAAATGTACATGAATCAGTATAATTAGTCATTATTAAAGCTACACTTTTCATTGAAAATGAAGCCATGTAGAAACAAATCATTACCATAAATTTTTAGACCACACAAAGTACACCAAGTCTTCATGTAAATCAGTCAACTGAAGCAAAGTGTGATATACAGTGCTTAATAAATGTATTAGGGTTAGGGTTACCCACTGTGGTTTATGCCACAGGTGCCCTGAATTAACAGCATTATACCAAAATCATTTTTATATGTCTGTAATGGGTTAATTTATTAGTATATTTAAGCTCTTTAAGCAAAATAATATTTAACTGCTTAAATGTAATTGTTGTCATAAAAATAGAAGAAAATAGCAGAGCACATTATTATTTTTTGATGAAGATGAACCGTTATTTACTTGCATTCCAGAACAGAAACATTTAGAGGTTGAATGTTATGCTTGAGTCGTTTCTGATTCACAGAGAAGACCCATGTATCTGCTGAAATTTGGGTATAAAAACATTAATTAATTATGTTATTTGCCTAATAAATAACAATACATTTTTTGTTTTAAACAAGTTTTATATTTCTATTATTATATTTCTATTTTTTCCTCTATGTTCTTATGGTAGGTGCTGTAAAAAAATTGTTAAGCACTGTACAGTACTTGTATGTAACACATAAAACTTAACATTTTTCATTTCATTTAGCTTACAAATCGATACACTTATGCATTTTTCTGATGACTGTCCTCCTATAGATGATTGAACAGTATCTAAAGCTCATAGAGGCCCCCAAAACGCACTTAATTAATTTCAGTCATGCTTCATACAGCAACAGGTTACACTAAAAAGCGTAACACTTTTAGCTTCAGCTTTTGAATTAATACTGCACATAACAGTTTGAGTCAGAGCTTGGTCACCTGGAGACGGTCAGAAACAGCCAAAGCCAGGCTGTATAGATAATGAAACTGGACTGAGTAAAAACATAACCAAGAGATTAAAAGAAGTTTGCAATTTTAGCATAGTAGTATTTGTTCACAGTGTGTTTTTTTTTATTTTTTAAACACTGTTTTTTAAGGCAAATGCATTTTATAATAGTGTTGTTTGAATTAAATAAAATTGGGTCTTGATTCAGATCAGTTCAAATTAATTTGGGGCTATATAACAAAACTTGAACTGTATTATAGCCCTAATATGCGTATCTATGAAGCTTTGTGCTTATAACAACATGACTTTCAGGTTTGTATATTTTTTTTTAAGGCAACAAAAACTATGACCTCCAGTCAAGATTTTTCCATCAGTGGCATTGTCTAAAATGCTTCCTTTTATTACATCTCTCATGGTATTGTCATTGTACTTAAATGGCCGTTAGACTTTTGACTGACAAACATGCTAATATCTTTGGCTACGTTCACACTGCATCAAATCCGATTTTTTTGACCCTATGCGACTCATATCCGATCATGGTATGACAGTGTGAACGGCACAAATCCAATATTTTCAAATCCGATCTGGGTCACTTTCGTATGTGGTCTTGAATCCGATACATATCTGATGTTTTAGAAAGCGACTGCTGTTTGAACGGTCATGTCGCATTAAATCCGTCTTTTACGTCACTGACACAAGACAGACACCAATTATCAGCTCCGGAGAAGCGCCCGAGAAGACATCGCGAATGCTTCCTGGCCATCCAGCGTAGATGTCAGTGAAACTGTTGGGAAGACAACGTTGGAGAAACGTGAACATTTTATTTGTACTGTATAATCTGCAGATTCTGGCAGAAATCTGCAACTATCCTTTGAAGCACCGCTCCTCTAAAACAGCAATAAGGATCATTATTAGGTTATTTACATTGTTATGTAAATAACAAAATAACTTAAAGCAAAAATTGGGAAACGTAAAGTTGAAGTCTTTATATTAAGGGCCATCAGTCAAACAATATGGTTTGCTCTGGGTCTAAACAGAGCATGTTGTGTGTGACATCTTCTTTTGCGAATGCGGGCCGCTTTAAGTGTTCACACTAGAGAGCGTTTGCTGGTCGCATTTTATTTGTAGTGTGAACAAGCAGACAAGAAAATCGGATTTGATCAAAAAATCGGAATTGAGCATTAACACCTGCAGTGTGAACGTAGCCTAAGTAGATGTTCATGAGACATGAACCTCAGCATTCCCATGTCATGGTCCGTGGGGGTACCTGGAGGGTGTCTCCTTCTGTGGCTGATGTACCATCCCTTTGGGGCGGGGACTTCGGTGCTTCAACTGAGCCTCAGCTGCGAGCAATCAGCTGGAGACCTACTTCAGCTGTCTCAACCGGCTCCTCCGTGCCAGTTTGTTCTACCCGTCTCGGTGGTAAATGACGTTTCCCTTTGTGGTTTTCCTTGTGTGACTTAGCTCTCGGAGTAATTTCTGTCTTCCCTTCGTACAGCGGAGTTCCTATCCTGGTTTTCACCTTACGGGGACAGTCCCCGCCTCCCAGCCAACCCCCACGCTTCTGCTTGGGACCCTCCAGACGCTTTCCACGGACCTCTCCCCTCCCCTCAGTGATTCCAACCCGGACTGGCACAGTAAGGCGAACAATTCTCCAGTTCCTAGTTATCTATGCTCCAGTTTTCCCTTCAGATTATAACTACCTCCTCCTCTGTTACAGAATATTTCCGCGGCTTACTGACCTCCTCCCCGTCCCTACAACTAGCCTGATTGGCCCCCCCCTTGTCACGTTAGGTCGCTTTTTCGATTAAAATTCACTGTAAGCATTCCTCGCCCGTGTTTGTCTGCATTTTTGGGTCCACTTTCCTGATCGAACCTGATGGTTCATGACATCCTACTTAATCTCAGAGGCTTATTGGCAACCCACACATACTGAACATTATTGGCTGATTTAAGAAAGAGTTTTTTTGAACCATCTGTTGTACCAAGGTCGATGTTGTTATTTGCTAAGACAGCATAACATTTTTCATTTTTACATTATAGCTGTAATGAATATTTGACAGTAAGGTATTAAATTTTACAAATTCAAGTTTTCAAGTAGTGCCTACACAACGTATTCTACCTCCAAAAGTGCAAGTGTATAATCTAATGTAACTTTTGGAATTAAGTGAGCTATTTTGCATGTCTTTTTGCCATTTGGTTTATTGGTTTCCCGCCTGCTATAGTAATTTTGGCTTACTTGGCTGCTTCCCATTGCCATTGGTTAACAACATTAAGGGAGTTCTTCTCTGTAACTGCTATATTTCATTTTTGGATTGCTGATATCATGTCTTACTTCGGGATGAATAGAATGGGCTTCCATGAAGGTTGTGCCAGCCATAAGCATATGACGGGAAAGCCTAATTAATTAAAAATTTTTGTCAGCTGACTATATTTTTCAATTTTTTATTATTATTTTTTAACAAAAGAAGCTTTTGCTATCAAGCTTCCCCGCAGAATGGCTTTCATTGAATCCCAAAGAATTAGAGGGTTCACTTCTCCGTTGTCATTTTCTTTAATGAATGTATCTATTTCTTGTTTAATATGTTCATTTGTAATAGATTCATTCAGATTTGGTTTATGTTGTTTTTCATGCAGCCGCACGATGAGGTTCCGTGCAGGTCATGTTCATGTCTGTTTTCGTCACGCCATTTGGTTCACAGTTTCCATGCATCTGCACAGCACTCTGTTCATAGTTATTCCTTTCAGTCAGGTTAGTGTTTTTCCAGTTTAGGTTTTTTGTTAGTTGCAGTCTCTGTCCCTGTTATGTTTTGTCTACTCCCTTTTGCATCAGCCCAAATAAAGGCTCACTTTCAGTTTAAGTTCACTCCCGTCTCCTCGCCTGTGTTCGTCCACCACACACACTCTCCACACGCTGGCCGTGACAGAAGCCCTACATTAAGGCGCCAAACAGTTTTCCTTGGAAGTGAGTCCAACTGAATTGTCAGAAAAATCGTGTTATGATCTGAGACATCCGCTACCCCAATTCCACAGTCTAACACTCTATGACATTCTTCCTTTTGCATTCTTGTTTAATTTTTGCTAATACTCTGGCTCTTTTGATTGGATTTCCCAGGCCGTTAAGCAACATCAATTCCAGACACTGTGACATAGTATACTGTTGTGGAAATAAAATGATCCTCCACCACTGACCTCAAAAACAAACAAAACCTAAACCAAAACATGGTAGAACAAATAGATGAACAATTAAAAAGAACTGTAGAATTCAAAACTCAAACAACATTGCAATATGACTCCCACTATGAGGTAAATGACACACCCCCACACAATGATGAGAGGGAGAGCCTCACCGGAAGTGAGGGCCCTCTCTTAGAATCCGTGAGAACCCCGATCTGAGTCACACTCATCCTATCTTAAGTTGTTGGCTACCTCAAGGTAGAGCAATTATACACAACTTGAACCATGAAGAACATATTAATTATTCAAGAGAGCCAGATACATATTTGGAGTGATTACGTTATCTGCCCCTACACTGAAATAGTTTCTATAAAGTCAAACCCTTCTCTGTTCCCTTGTAGTTTGTCGCGCACTCTCTGAATGGCTCCGTTGTTGCTTCTCCGGGTCGCGGGTTGCCATGGTGACGCTTGCTCCAGTAGAGACGTAGGGTCAAATCCTCCTCTTTCGTGTGGCTCCTCCACCGTAAATCCTCTCCGCTGCATCTCTCGTACCGCCTCCGCCGGACTGTGGTACACCTGAGGGCCTGTGTCCCAGTGGTTCCGGAGTTTTGTAAATGGAGATTGGAATCATATGCCCTTTTGTTTAAGTGTGCTTTTCACTTCTCCATGTGCACGGCGCTGTTGTACTACCGTAGCAGTAAAGTCATGGTCGAAACCAATGGGTTTGTCTTTGACAAGGATCTTCTTCTGCCATGCGTTTCTGAGGACAGTTTCCTTTGTTTTGAACTGAAGAAAACAGACGACAATGGAACGGGGAGCAGCATCAGCACCTGGCTTAGGACCAAGGGATCGGTGAGCCTGTTGTATTTGTGGGTCAGTGCCATCAGCCATTAGCCTCTTTCTTCTGATCACATTTTCAACAAAGCTTATTACCGAGCTGCCCTCTTCTCCTTTGGGGACTCTGTAGATTCGCAGGTTATTTCTTCTCGATCTAGACTAAAGGTTTTCTAGCCTTTCGGTTAGTTTCCTCTGCTCCATTAGCGATTGTCTCAGCGCGTTGTAGGCCACCGCTGACCAGCTTTCAAGCCCTGCCACTCGTGTTTCAGCTTCCTCAAGCTTCTCGTCGTATTCTTGGACTGCTAGCTTATCAGTCGTTAGCTGTTAGTTCATATCTTCTTTGAATTTCTTCAGGTTGTCTTTCAACTCACGCCTGAAGACTTCTTTGAATGCGTTGAAGTCAGCTTTCATCTCCGTCCAGAGGTCAAAGATTTGTTGGCTAATATTTTATATGACCTCTTGCAAAGAATCGAGATTGGTCCCCTCGCCATTTTCTTCATCGGAGTTTGCCATATCAGCGTGCGTGTCCTCTCGTTCTTCTGGAAAATACTGTTCAGTTGGTTCATGTATCTTCTTGTTCTTTTTCTTTGCCTCCCCCGGCATTGTTTTAAACATAGAAGTAGTCAGAAAACTTGAAATTAAGGGAGAATTCGCTCGACCCTGAGGAGCTCAGAAATTACGCCGCCATTCTGCTCGCTGCCAGCCGGAAGTCCCCTATTTTTATTACTTTGAATTATCCAAATTAATCAGGGAGTGGACTGTGGACAACTTTCATGTTGGCAACCACAGCAAACACCAGAGCACTCAAAAACCAAAAACTCTGAATTTTCAGCATGTTGTCACAATGCTTTATCAAGGTTCTTGCCCTGTTTGTAATCCATGCGAGCACACTACGACTGTTATCGATTTTTCGCCTATTTTTTAAAATTTGATTTCTTTTGGTAGGCACTAGAACTGATTTAATGGAAGTTGATGTTTTCCTCTTCTTTGTGGGAGAGTTTTAATTTTGTTCTTTCTCTGGCAGTCAGGAAAAATGTGCAGTGAGTTTTCCTTGACTGCTACATTAATGTCGAACAGAAATGTTGACACTTGTGACATGTGCAGCTGACTTAGGCGCATATGGAGCATTCAGGTTTGCATAATGCAGTACGGAAATGTAGATTATGTGTCCTTACCTGATGTCTACATGTTTGTTTGTGAACAATTTTCAACTTAAGGAAACAGCTCCATTGTTTTAGCCTTTTCCTGTATTTCACAGGACATTCTCTGCTGATGGCAGTGATGGAGAACGCAACGTGGCCACATCCCTCATACCTCCCACATTATCTCCTCCGTGGTGACCCTTTCGCCTCAAGACTCTCCAGGGAGGCGGACGTTGTTGCAGCCCTTTACGTCTGTATCATAGGTGAGTCTTTTGTTAAGAAGAATCATCATGTTTGCATAAATGTCTGATTTTCTACCATTCTGCTCTATGTCCTACTTCTATTGGACGAGAAAACAGACTCAAGTTTGCTTTAACTAACTTTAACAAACGTAAAAAGATGCAACATACAGTTTGATTTTCTTGTCCTGTACAACAAAATGTGGTCCAAAAGGTTAGGGTTTACTTTAACTGACTCAGATGGAGGTGTACAATGGTCCCGTAGGGAAAATGGGAAATTCCATAACACTTGGACATGGTGTCAGTGTGACGTATATGATGAAAAATATTATGCTCTGCTGAACATAGTGTTGTAACTGAGATTACACAATGAAAACAATAAATAAAAACTCTGAGGTCTGAGGCATGATCGTGATGACCTAAATCCTAACCCTAACTCAAACCCTCTACCTAAAAATCAGTAGTTTTTGGTTTTATGAAACTGGTCAAAATTATTGTTCTACCTGAGACACATAAAAAACTGTAGCATGAGGGTAGGGTTAGGGTGATGCATCATACTTCATGGAGATTTCAATTACTGATGGAAACCATTATTCAGCAGGAATAAACTCGGGGCAGATATCTATTTATAATTAAAACTGAATTACATTTACTGGGGGTACGGCATTATCAGAAGGAGCACGTGATTGGTGCATTAGGATGTCTCTAAGTTCTAAACACTGCTCTTACAGTTTGGCTTTTCACTTCAGGTTTCCTCATTTCAGTCACATTTATACACATACAGGGAGTACAAAGGCCTTTGAGTGTCTCTACTTAAACCTACGGATGCTCCTTTTTGAGTTTGTTAGATTGCATGAGTCATTATTGTAATGAAATGGTTGCCTCTGTGTCTATAAATTTGTGTCATGTGAGTGGACCATTGGCACTCGTATATGTGCTTGATTGCAGTATAACGATGAGTCGTCCCAGCTAGTAAATCTGCACTGTGTATTTTCTCCAGGTACACATACTGTATGAGAAACGAGTAGCACAGCAATTGGAAAGTATGCAGACTGTAAATTGTATCATTTCCGTGTAATGTTAAAGGCTGGTCTCCTGGTCTTTTTTTCCCAAAGAATGTTTTCTTAATGTGAAGATGAGTGACTGCAATTTCTTAAGCCCAACAGAATATCAGATTCCTGACTTTTTTCTGAGAAAATCAAAGACCTTCTGGAGACGCTTCAAGCAGGCAGAAGTACAAAAAGTCATTGTTAAGATCACACTTGGTCACAGTAAAAGCTGTGAACTGACATACTGTTTGTCCCTTCGTTTTTTTTTAATTATGTAACCATGTTTTCGCAGAAGTACAAATTCAGGTTTGTAATGGAGGCCATTTGTGCTAAATAGGGTTCATTGTAAGCAGCAAACTAAAAGAATACATTTCAGACTTTGAGGTAAATGACGCAAGCAAATGAATTTTCTGAGAAAGCTGCTGCCCTTTGATTACCTTCAACATGTGATCCATTACCATGGAATCCTAACTTTTGAGTTATCTTCTCTTTTCTTTCCTATTTCCATCCTTATGGACTGGTGTAGACAGTATGAAAAAAAAAAAAAACGTAACATTTTACGGGGCGATCGTGGGTCAAGAGTTGGGAGTTCGCCTTGTAATCGGAAGGTTGCCGGTTCGAGCCCCGGCTCGGACAGTTTCGGTCGTTGTGTCCTTGGGCAAGACACTTCACCTACCGCCTACTGGTGTTGGCCAGACGGGCCGATGGCGCGATATGCCAGCCTCGCTTCTGTCAGTCTGCCCCAGCCCTGTGGCTACAACTGTAGCTCGCTTCCACCAGTGTGTGAATGTGTGTGTGAATGGGTGGATGACTGGATGTGTAAAGCGCTTTGGGGTCCCTAGGGAGGACTTGTTCAAATCTCTGCTACAATTTTTGCTGCAGTATTCCCTAAATAAGAATTGGTATGTTTCAATTAGTTTTCTAGAAACTACAATACATAACATAAGTCAGACGCTCCCAGTTACAAGGATAGTGTAAGGTAGGAAGACTTTAGGACTAACGTGTGGCCCTGATGCTTAGTACTTTGCATTTGTTAAATGACCCATGTGTAGCTATTATGTTATTACCTTTTTACTGCTTTTTAAAAAAAAAAAACTTGCTCAGCTTCTATTAGAGGCCTGAGAGTTTGAGAGTTCTGTGCAGTATCCTAGCTGTTCGAAGCACTGTTTTGGAGAACTTTGCTTTGCAGGGGGGCTTGCTGGTCACACAAAATGAGTTTAGTTGAAAATAACAAGAACACTACAACACTATTGTTTGTAGTGAAAACCATTTCACTAAAATTCACATTTTGAATGAAATGAATGTTGTTGTAATGTCAAATTTTGCAATGGGAGTAAATTGGATATGATCTAATTAACAGGCCACCAAATTAAAATGTCAGCAGAAGACTAGTTTAGTTGCTGATACACATTTTGCACAATCTTACATATCACACACACTGACTCATTTAATGACATGTCATTAAGTCACATGTCTGACAAAAAAAAATGTAGTCAGCTTATTAGTGTGTGTTAAAATGGGTTGTCTGTAAACCTGAATATCACTGACAGACAGGGTCTGCTCTCTGTGAAAAATGTATATGGCAGGCATCCATGAAAGGGTCTCCAGCATGAAGGATTGGGCAGCACCAGGCCCCGACACGGCTACTGGTTGAAGACGCTCACTGCATCCCATGAGCGTCTGGCAGCACAAACGAACCTACCAGCCAATAACCTGGCTCAGTACCGCATGGAAGCTTAGAGCAGCTAAGATGAACAGGCACATGGCTCAATACATGAGTGGGGCACAGAAAGAAATAGCCCATAGCACAAGTCACCATCAAGTGTGGGATCTACCAAGGAGATGCGCGGTCCCCACTGATGTTTTGCATAATTATTGACAAGACTTACTACAGATATCGACTACGGAATGGAGCAGTTGTCAGCCACCTCCAATACATAGATAACATTAAGCTGTATGTCAAGAGTGAATGACACATTGATTCACTGATCCACAGCACCACTCTATACACACTACACTTGGAATGTCATTTGGATGTTTGGATTGGAGAAGTGTACTGGGTTGGTAACAGAGAGGGAAGTTAGTCACAACTGAGGGGATCGAAGGGCGGCTACAAGTACCTGGGGATCCTGCAGGCAAATGGGAACAACCAAGAGGCTGCTAGAAAAGCTGCAACCACTAAGTACACCGAAATTTCTCATCCGTGGGATAATGAGGGTTTATTCTATTCAGTCCCGAGGAGTCCAGCTTGAATGGTAAGAACCAGATCCAGGCTATCAAACCTATGCCCTGCCCTGATCAATTACGCTGCTGGGATAATAAGCTGGCCAAAGGAGGTGAAAGAAGCCACTGACATCAAGACCAGGAAGCTCCTGATACCACATGGAGGGTTTCACCTAGAGCTGGGCGATAGAACGATAACGATATGTATCGCGATATAACTTTTACTCGATAGAGAAATTAAGCTATCGCGATAGACCTCGCCGCTCTTGTCCTCCTAA